CTTTAACTGTTAGAAAAATTTTGAAAAGTTAAATTTCTTCGACAATTTTTTTCCTTCATTTTTTTTTTTTTTTTAGTTAAGCAAAGTGCAAATAGCCTAGTCTCGAATAATTGAATTTTTCATGATGTATACCGATCGATTGATCGATCGATCGATCGATCGATAATATCTTCTGATTTGATGGATCATATGGATTACATTAGAATGATATCAAGAAATGACGGAAAAATAAAAAAATGAAAATGAAAATGTACAGTAATCAAAGAAATAAAAAAAAAGATTGAAATGAATTTTTTTTTTTAAGGAAAAGATTAAATATGTATCACATACCTAAGTTATGAATGTACCATAAAAATATTGCAAAATAAATTGATAAAATTGGGATGGGTAAGAGCATTTCAAATAAACTTAAGTTTCAATTCAATTTTATATGCCTATGAACGAAAAAGTGGAAGGTGGGGCTAGGCTATTTCAATAGAAGCCTACTATAGGCTCTAGGCTAATTATAAACTCCACCTATAGGAAGAGCAAAGAAAAGAGCAGAAGAAAAAAAATGACAAGAATATAAATATGAAATGAATTTAACTGCTTCAAAAAATTATTTAAATCAAAATAAGAAAAAAAAATATTTAAAATTATTTAAATATACATATTCCAATAATTAATTCGTCTCAAAACAATTAATTTATTAATTAAATTTCAAAATTTCTTATGCTTAATATATAAATAAAATGGCGGATCCAATATATATTGCAAGCAATAGGAAAAAGAATTTTAAATTTTATTTTTAATAACATCCTTCTTCCAAATAAAAATTTTATGTGCTATTCAAGTATAAATGAAATTCGCTGAAATTTTGTCTGTGAAATTATCGATCAGAAAAAAAGAAAAGAAAAAAAAAAACTGATCTCATAACATAATGTTATAATAATATTGGATTGTAGAAGAAAGATGAAGGAAGTTAGTTTACAAATTAATTTTTATTATAATTAAAAAATTTTTATATAATTAAATTTTTATGTACATATAATTTTACCACAATTAAAAATTAAATTATTAGAAATATTTAATAAAAAAAAAGCTGGCATTCTCTTCTTCTCATATTTCAAATTATTATTTTTTATCTTTTTTTTTTTTATCAATCAACCACTTTTCAAATGATATCTATGAAAAAGGCTAAGTTCCAAAGTTTTAAGCAAAAAATTAATTAACGGAAGTACCATTAAAACTCAATGATAAGCTATTTACAATCGTAACGAACAAAATAAATTCTTCTTGCAACCACTTGACGAAGCCATGGATGTAATTTCCTAAATTGAACAATTAAATTGGCTAAACAAGACAATTTGCCATAAGTGAAAAATTACTCCCACAATAATATTAGGCAATTTAGCATCCTAGCAAAGAAAGAAGATGAAATATTGGCCTAGCAAAGAAAGAAGATGAAATATTGGCCTAGCAAAGAAAGAAGATGAAATATTGGCCTAGCAAAAAAAAAAATAATGAGAAAAGCTTTATTTATAAAATTATAATATTTATATTGAAATTGAAATTATTACTGAACATATGATTTTATTAATAAGAATAAATAAAAAAAAAAAAAAAAAAGAAAGAAAAAACAATAACGGAATAAGCATTTGAATGAATGATTCAAACAATTTTTAATACTTTTGTTTAATTTTAGGTAAATTTAACTTTACCTAAAATTACTTATTACTTAAAACATTTCTTACATACAAATGATTTTTTTTTTTGGATATTATCTGATAATTAATTAATTTTCAATCATTTATTTAACATAAATAATTTTTTCATTAAAATATAAAAGTATAATTGCTTATACATTTTATAATTGTTCAAAGAATTTTACATTCGACAGAATTTTAAAATGTTTTACTTTCTAATCAAGGAAAAAACTTTGTAAAAGGAAAATGATTTTTAAAAATTGATTATAGCGACATCTCTTGGGTAAGCAACCGTTGGGTAAAATATCAAAATATGAGACATAAACAAGATAAAAATCTATGAGAGTCTTTTCCCACGGGAATATTCTTTCAAAGCTAACTTTGTGAAGCAAAAATAATTGATGCATAAGCTATGAAAGCATATTTATTAAATTTCTAAATATTTCAATTTATTATAAAATGTTTCTCTGATCTTTTCCATTGTTTATTATTGACAAATTTTGAAAATATACCATTTTAATAAGTTTAAATTAATCACACATCTCTTTTTTCTTGCTGAAATAAAGATTTCGAGAAATGAGCTCAAATTTCATTGACGTAATCAGTCAACGATTGTTATTATTTGATTGAACGTATCATAGTAATTAGTTTTACGTCACGTAAAATGCATTGAGGGTAAAAATTAAATTAGACAATGCATTACACAAAAAAAATCACATCACGTAATATTTTAGTTAATAAAATTACGTAAGTAGCGTGCTGCTACGTGGAAAAAAATTTATAAAACTTATCAGTAACAAATGTTTCAGTAAACTTCGCTTTCTCTCTCTCTCTCTCTCTTCTCGTGTAAATTCTCTCTATCGACTTATAGAAACGAAACGAAACGAAACAAAACAATACTTTTGAAACGTCACTCATATACATCATCTGCCGTATGAAACGTTTGATGAGAATCTACGCTAAAAAAGTGGTAATAGACGTAAATAATAAGTGAAGGACACGTCCTCAACTATTCCCTTATATTATAATTTGTTTTTGTTTTTTATTATCACATGAATCCTTTTCTTTAGTTATGCTTAGAAGGATAAAAAATCAAATGAAGGAAATGATAAGCGTAAATTCTCACAGATATATTGAATGAGAATGGGTAATGGGCGCTATTGTCGTGGGAAAGTAGTCGTTTTCCAAAAGAGAAATGAAATAAAATTGATCATCGATGTTTGTGTATTGCAGAAATGTTTAATGATGCCTTTTAAAGGATTCGATTGGATCAATATCGGATTGATTTACATTTCTGAACAAACTTTTTACTCTACCGGAAAGAACTATTGAAAAGAGCAACGATCATTTATTCTTCATTTTGATTAAAGCTTAAAATGACAATGCCAATATGTTAATTAGAAATGATTCATAAGTATGCGAGTAGTAATAGTATTCACAGCATTGATCTTAATAACAATATGTTAATTAATTAGAAATGCTTTTATGCAAAGAAAGTGGTCAAAGAAAGATAAATGCTATGTTAAATCAAACAGAAAAAAAAAATTTCAAAATTTAAATTAAAATTCAGATTCTTGTTGGGAATTAAAAAATTCATAAATGAAATGGAAATATATTTGAGTATTATAGTGAAAATTTTAACTAATCAGAAAATTATCATAAAGTTATATCAATCATTCCTTAAACATAATTGGAAGTACCATTATTGTTATTATTATTATTATTGTTGTTGTTATTGTTATTATTATTATTACTATTATTATTATTATTATTATTATTATTATTATTATTATTATTATTATTATTATTATTATTATTATTATTATTATTATTATTATTATTATTATTATTATTATTATTATTATTATTATTATTATTATTATTATTATTATTATTATTATTATTATTATTATTATTACTATTATTATTATTATTATTATTATTATTATTATTATTATTATTATTATTATTATTATTATTATTATTATTACTATTATTGTTAATTATTATTATTATTAAATCTCATTAAATTTTTATGAAATAATAATAAATATTAATGCTAACAAGTTGATAGACTATTTATATATCCAAATAAGGATGACAATAAAGTGATGAAAAGTTATAGTTGGATAGAGGATGTATGGTAGGTAATAACATAAACATTAAACTCTAGCTATTGTTGAAATGTTTAAACATACCAAAATTATCTTTTACTTCATCTCTCTCTCTCTCTCTCCCTCCCTCCCTCTCTCTCTCCCTCTCTCTCAATTATTTAGTTTTTCCATGTCTAGCTCTATAATACTAGTTATGGTTCATTGAATTTAAATACAATTAATTTTATTATTTGTTAGTGGCAAATTATTCATGGCAAATAATCATCATAAAACAGTAATGCACTCACTATTTCATTTCATTTCTCTGTTGGTTATTTAAAGTTAAAAAAAAAAAACTAAAAGCTGATCAAACAAATACATATATTCATTCTATTTCACTCATATTTTTTTTTCTAATTTCAAAATAATTTCTATAATTTATGGAAATTATTATAAATGAGTAATTTTTTAATCAAAGTGATAGATAATATCTTTCATATGTGATAATGGATTATTATTATTGTTAATTATTATTATTAAATCTCATTAAATTTTTATGTAAATAATAAGAAATATTAATGTTATTAATGTTTTTAAAATATAGCATTTTATAGTAATGTTAAAAGATCTAATAAATTGTTACACAAATATTTCGTTAGTATTTTAAATAAATACATGTAACATTTTCAAATGCATAAATTCAAAGACAGATTTATTAGCTGTGAAATTGAGTTTTATTTAATCTTCCAATTAATTTTTACTCTAACATTATTTCTTCTCTCATTTTATATTATCATTTAAATTAACAAATTCATATTTACGAAAGAACGAAAAGTTGCAGAAGAAATATTCTGTAAAGGAAATTATGTGTTACTTTTGCATTTACCAGCTGTTCAAGATCGGTAATGTATTAAAACCAATTTGGCAAATATTCTGAAAAAATTTTCGATTTTTATATCCAGTTTTTCTACTCTAATACTGGTATAAATCAGAAATAATAGTCACAAATAATGTGATATCCATTGTAAAGTATGAAGAAATATTATGATTATGCAGAATTTAATATTAAATGGATAGAAGTTCATCCTTAACAGATTTTAGTCAATCTATCTCTCACCTAATTCACTGATTCTGTCATTTTTGTTTCATCAGATTAAGCTGTAAACAAAAATATTTATAATGAGCATTTATTTGAGAGAATTTACTAATAATAACAAAACATTTATTTTTCATCATCAGATTCATCTTCCAATATACTCTTATCCAGTGGTTTGATTATTCTACCCGCCTGAAAAGGAAAAAAAAGGTGAAATATAGGTATTTTTTCCTTTTAAAAAAGAAAGACAAATTGAGCATAAACAAATTGTACGTACTTTTGTTACAATCTGTGGCTGAATAAGTTTCATATGAATTCGTTGTGGATTCCATTCCTTTCCTAATGGCTGTCGTATTACAGCTTCATAATCCTCAACGGTTGTATAAGGAAATGGTACCTGAAAGAATAGCACTTAATTATTTATTATCAAAATTCAAAAACTCCGTTACTATTAGTCATTATATTTTGCATTAAATCAAAACAAAAAAAAAAAAATCAGTGCTGTTAAAGAAACATTATGCTAGTCGAAAGATAATTTATATAAGATTCATACAAATTTTAAAAACCTAATTGGATTATTTGCATTTTCTGAACCATATTGTATTTCCAGAAGATTAGCAAATTAAAAATGACATGCTAATCAAAATTATTAGGACCTCATTTCTTCATGCATTAACACTTACCATTCAATTCCTGTTTCTATGATAGGAATTTCCATTATAATCATATAATTACTATTTTATAATTATCCTTTAACTTAAAGAAACAATACCCAAAAATTGTTACAATTGAAAAGTTAACATAAATCATCGAAAATTATGAACATCTTTCATACTTATTCAAGTAAATTAAGAAAAAAAAAAACCCTCACCGATTTGAGTTGTATCTTTTCAATTGACTGATCCACTGTTTCTGATATAATTAAGCCTGTTTTTCCAGCATCTTTCCTCTTCTTTTTCGGCACTTTGACTACAAATCTAAAATTTGCTATATTTGTACTTAATTATTAAGTTCAAGATGCTATGATATCGAAGAGATAAATAACTGTAAAGCTGTAATATTTGAACAGTGCAACATAATCTCGAAAAAAATCTCACCTATCTTTTTTCTTATCGGTTATTCCCGGTCCCGTCCATGAACCCCATCCATGAAGAGTTAGATCGATGTCTTTTGGGTTCTCTGCTGCTTCCACAGCTTCCTTTTCCGCTTCAAAATCACCAATAACATCAACATCTTCGAATGCCTTGGCTATAATTTCTTCCTGATCCTTTGCTTGCTCTGCAATTAATGATGATTGCAAGTATAATATATCATTATCATTGCAACTACAATTTATTATCCTGCAGTAAAATCTATTATTTTTATTGTTATCAGTTTCCTTGCTCATTAAACATTGAATATTCATAAAAATAAGTCAGTCAAAGACAAAGGACATGCCATAAGTATCTTCCAAAGTTTCAACGAAGTCAGCTGACACTTGTGGCAATGCCATCGTTTCGACTTGAAGAAAATGTCTTGGATCCAGAGAAATATCAATGGCTGCTTCCTCGGTTTTTGTAGCGATTTTCTTCTCTTCTGCAAATACACTAAGATAATTCTACAACAAAAAGCAATCTTTAGCATAATTATTCAAAAAAAGTTTACTTTGTCGATGGATCACTGTAGATTCAGGAGCAATTGGAAGACTATGATTACGCTTATTTTCTTCGTCCTCTAATTTCAGAAGTTCACATTTCTAAAAAATATAGTGCTTCCGATACTTAATAAATATCGTACATTTTATTGAATTGTTTGTTATGAAGCCTTTACAACAATCTCTCGCAATCCCAGTAAAAATAATCTGACAAATAGAAAAATTGTCATTAAAAAAACTAGAACATTTTTTTTACTACGAAAACAAATCGAATAATACAAAAAAAAAAAAAAAAAATTATATGCGCATCTGATACCTTTAGAGCATTTTCAATGAGCTGCTGCTCTGCTTTATCAAATAGCTGATCGATATCCATGTCCTTTACATCTGTGACTTCCTGCTAAAAAATAATAACAATTCTTTATTCTATACTTCGATCAATATATCCAGCGCTTTTTTTATTAAAAGTAAACAAATACTTTAATAAAATCGGAATTTATTTTCGGAAACTTCAAAACTGCTCATTTTAATGTACAGTTCTAAAGGGGAAACGCACTTTATTCTTCATTTTCTTTGACTTTTTCTTTTTTTTCAAGTTTTTGAGACCTTCTTTAGACTGTTTATCAACTTTCTTTTCAGTATGGTCCTGTTCAGAGTTTATAGAGATATCTTGCTGATGTTCTGTTTCATTCGACTGCTCTTCATTGTTCACTGCATCTTCCTGACCCCACTCTATTTCCACAACTTTTTCAATGGGAACCACTGATTTATCAGCTACATCAGTGCCCTTAAATAAATATATTCAATGAGAATAGTAAGAATTTGATTTCGAATTATATGATACTTTATACCTTATAAACATAAAAATAATTTCAAACTAAAATGTACCAATTCGTGTCTTTGGCGAGCTACGGATCCTGCATCTGCGGCGCGTAATGCGCTACTTCTGAGATTCTCACGTTCTCGTTCTCTCATTTCACGCAGTTTCGCTTTCAACTCTGGCTTGGTGGATTCCCTTTCCTTTTCTTCTTTTTCCAGCACTTCGGCTGCCCTCTGTAATTCAAAAAATCAAAAGATCTAGATTCTTTTTTTTCAAAAACTGTTGAAAGATCGAGAAACAACGTTTACACCTCAAGCATTTTTGCACTGGTCAACTGCACTGCACCCGTATTTCCTGATTCAGAATCGGAATCCGAATTCCTCTCACGACCATGTTTTTCGGCCAGTTCTCTCCCCAATCTTATTTGCTCTTCATATATTTTTTTGAAATCCTTATTTTTACTCGCATATCTTGCCAACTGTTGGACACCTTTTCCACCGTTGCGATGTTTTAATGTAGCTCGTTCCTGTAACATTCGTATTAATTTATTTATTCTGAATTTTCATAATCCTATCCGGTTTGTGAATAAGACTATGATACCAGGATCCGTTGCCGATCAATTTCTTCCAGTTTTTCTTTGGCAGCTTCTGGATTTTTGACCATCATTTCTTCAAATTCTCTGATTAACTGCTTCCTCTTTTGACGTTTCATATGTCGATGATATCTGTAACCAATCATGTTAGTACATTTTAACATTAAAGTTTTTTTTTTTTAAACATGGTAGAAGTTCAAAGACAAGATTGTCTTAAGGTTTATAGAGCAAAGGGAGAATGAAGGGAAGAATACATTGATAGTTAAACTAACGATTTGCTTTTTATTTTAGCTTGTCGTTTCAGTTTCGCTTCTCGATAACCAACTAAAGCCCGCATTTTTTTTAACTCAGCCCATTTCGCTTTTGCCTGGAAGAAAAAAAAAAAAAAATCAAATATCTACTTGACTCTTCCTCAAAAGAATTACTTATAACTGCATAGCTGTAGGATTGGTACAAAAACTGAAACATAAAATACCTCTTTCAAATTCATTGCTCTCAATAATTCTAATTCAGCTTCTGTATATTCTTCGCCATCACGAAGATTATTCTTTGATGTTTTCAACAGCTTGGCCAATTGTATTTCCAACGGTGTCCTTGGCTATAATTCAATTCTTAATGCAAAAGCAGAGATTATTCCCAAGCCCTCATCATATGTTGTACTTAAGATAGCAATAACTTTTCTAACACCTCAAAAAGTACTGTACGAGAAATTCCACTACTGAAGTTACTAGGTACTTTTACTAAGGCACAGGATACAACACATAAAACATATTCAAACATTTTCCTTTTAAGCCAGAACTCATTCTAGAAAAACAGCAAATGAAGGATTCAACAAACCTTGAAAAAGAGTACCAAATCCGATGCTGTTCGTTCAAGTGGTGGGTCTTTAGTAAGTGGGAATACTAATTGTTCAGCAAGTCTATTTCTCTTGACAATTGGAGCCCATTCTTCCAAATCCTTCCTGCAACAATATTTCAAGCTATTTGTGGTGGTTTTAACCATCTTTCCTGATTTTTAATTAGTTTCATCTCTAATTTTAAGTGAAGAATAGAGTTTAGGAAATCTCTACATTTCACTTACATTTCAATTTACTTCATACAATAAATACTTCAATTTCCAGTTGGATACCATACCAAACATTCCATTTGCACCAGATGTATTTAAAAACTATGTAGGTAAAGAAAATACCGAATATCGTTGTATGCAATGAAACTTTCAATCTTTTCTCGGACCAATCTATGAGATGGTGCCTGCAAGGTTCTCGGTTCGTCTTTTGCTGCTGTTTTTCCTTGCTTCTTTTTCTTTACCAATTTCTCCTTCACGTCGTCAACATTTCTGAAATCATTTTGAAAATAGCCCAAAACATTTATCTAAACCAATTATGCAATTGGAAAATACTGCCCGAATTTTATGACGAAGCATTGTTGTAATAAATTAAAGCAAATCAGTTGAAAAACTAACTTTGTGGATCGTATAAGGCCAACTAGCTCCTTAACATGAACTTTCTTCTGACACTTCCTAATCAGTGGTCCTTTTTTGACACTACTACCCAAGCTATTGATATTGTTTAGCAATTTTGTATGAGCTTCTTCATCAAAATCCGAATCCTCTGACATCGCACCCACTTTAACTGTAATAAAAAGTGAGGATGATAAAAATTGACTAGCATGTGCGCCTTCCTTATGAATTTCTAATGAACTAGAAAGTAAAACTTTGCAAAGTACTGCATAATGCTTCTTCAGTTTACTTTATAATACTCGGTTATATCGATATGAATTTTGATTTCCATCAAATATGCTACGAAACGAGATCGACAACATCGTCATAAGAAATAACAGAAGACAATTTATCAGTTTTGCAAATTCGACTGATTAGTGTACCTTAACCACTTTCTCATAATACACAGTGCGAAACAAATAAAAAGAAAGAAATAGCATACCATAAAAGCATTTCCGCTTCAGTAATTTAAAATTCTTACTTCCACCAAATAAAAACCGACCCAAAAGCGATTAAATAAAATGCCAACAAACAATATAACAGATAAATAAACTGAATCAGTTACCATGTCCATAACAACATAACAGTAAAAGATACGTCAGTAGTAAATTAATTACTATGCCAATAAAGAAACAATACATCAAAGCAATCCATAAAAAACGACAATCACATGTAGTTCAGAATCTTCCGGTTCACACGAAATGATGATCCCGCTCAATAACTTCGGCCAAACAGTGCGAAGAACTGCGCTTTTACTGAACAATTCTTATTGATACAATTAGTCGGAAGCGAAATATCAGGCTGAAATGATAAACTCATGGAAGTCTTCACAGAATTTCAGAGAAGAGAGCAAGTGAAACAATATATAGATGCTGTGAATGGTGCAAATAGAAATCATCTTTTGTTTTAAAATATTATTTAATAGAATTCAGCTTTTTTTTTTTATTAAGCTTTATATATATATATATATAGTAGGATTAGTTTTAAAACTGTGATATTCAACAAATGTACAGAAAAGTAATTCCATTAACTTAATTCTTAAAAATAAAAATATTATGTGAATCACCTGTTCAAATGGGATGCAGAGGGTCTTTGCCCCCATTGAAGGAGCACTCAGATCATTTTCCTCTTCCCTCACACTTTCTTTCTTGATTTCATCTTCGCATTCAGTGCGTCCGCAGAAAGGTGACAGTAGAATAAACTTTTGATCTAGGAAACTTCGGAAATCACTCCATTCCAATACAATCTTTGTATGCGATTCGCGAACTTCCAGTATTCTAAAAATAATTTATCATACTCAGAAATACTTTATTCCATGCTGGAGATTATCATTAAATCAATAAGGCTGAAAAAGAGCTTGCCTATTATACATGGAATTGTGAATTTCGTCCAGCATATCTTTGCATTTTGTAGCAAGAACATCAATAGGAATGATTCTCTTTTCACCAGAATACCTAATGACACAAGTTATCTAAAAAAGAGAATAAGTTGTAATTGAGAATAATATAAGTTATAAATTTACAATAAAAAGAGAATGATAACAAATAATATTCGAAGATACCTGGCTGTTGGCTAAATCTTTGGGACCAATTTCGATTCTTACAGGAACGCCTTTCAATTCCCAGTGATTGAACTTCCATCCAGGCGATATATTGTCTCTCACATCAAGCTCAGTCCGTATACCCACATCCAACAATATATTATTGACTTCCTTTGCTTTTTCAATCAAAGCCGTTTTTTGTTCATCTTTTGTTCGGGCAGTTATTCCTACAGGAACAATAACCATCTACAAAACCTATGAATAGATATTTAAGAATGACGAAAACAAAAGATTTTCATCTTTTCAAAGCTTACGTCTAAATCTATAAGGCAAACCTGTATAGCAGCTATTCTGGGTGGAAGCACAAGGCCATAATTATCACCGTGTATCATCACAACAGCACCAATTGTTCTCGTTGATAAACCCCAACTGTTCTGCCATGCATAAACCTTTCCGCCGCCGTTTGGGTCTTCAAACGATATGTTAAACATTTTTGAGAAATTCTGTCCTAAATGATGCGATGTAGCACCCTAAAAGTAGAACATTAACAGCCTTCAGAAAAATGTATAAAAAGATAATAGCAAAATCTTTTACTGATTTTTTCTTTATTTTTTGTCCAATCAATTTAAAAAAAGTACATTGTAAAACAAGAAAAAGAGAATTTGAACAAAAGAAAAAGCTAGCAACCTGTATCCCACGCCCATTAATAGGTACATACGCTTCAACGGTAGTTGTAAATTCTCCGCCAGCGAACTTTTCTTTTTCAGTTTTCCGTCCTTTAATAACTGGTATAGCCAGTAAATCGGTGTATACTTGAGCATATAAGTCAAGTATTTTGAATACTTCATCTTCTGCCTCAGCTTTAGTTTGAAATGCAGTGTGACCTTCCTGCCACAAGAATTCACGAGTTCTCAAGAATGGTGTTGGATGTTTAAATTCCCATCGCTAAAACAATCAGTATGAATAACACGCTAAAACAATCAGTATGAATGAAAATCTTGAATAATATAATACAATATAATTGTAATACAATTACAAAAATCGAAGTTAAAAACAGCAGTTAATTTTAAAAACCATAAAAAATTTTCTCTTTCTTTTGTTTTACGGTATTTGAATATGAAACATACGACAACATTGCACCACTGATTGAGCTTAATTGGAAGATCTCGGTGAGATTGTACCCACTTTGCATAGCTCGGATACATCACTGTTTCGCTAGTAGGACGAATTGCAATAGCTTCCGCCAGATCCGACTGGCCTGCTCGCGTTATCCAAGCAACCTACAGTGCATTGTAGATTTAAAGAAATATTTACATTTGAAAAATTCAGATACACAGTAAATAAATTTAAAATGATACCTCGGGAGCAAAGTCACTGATATGAGTCTTCTCCTTTTCCAAAGCGCTTTGTGAAACGAACAATGGAAAATAGCAGTTCTTAACACCTAGTTTCTTAATTTTTTCGTCGAACCATTCCTGAATAAATTCCCAAATAGCATACGACCATGGCCGCAATACATAACAACCAGAAATGTCGTAATATTCTATCATTTCTGCTTTCGTTATAACCTAAAATATGAGCATAGTTTAAAAAAAAGAATATGAGCATAAAACCAACATCATAACTTCACAAATTTTTAAAACCTAATTTATGACACGCTGATAATGCTCGCTTTTGCATCAATTCCATCACTGCCTAACACTACTTAAGAAAAAGATACCGAGGGAAAAAATTTCCTTCTGTCCTAAAAAGTGATTTGCTTCTAATTCCTGTATTTTAGGAATACAAGAATTACTTCTGATATGAGTAATAGTTGCTTTATGAATAATATTATTACACATTTAATACTCTCAAGCCTTTGTTAACGTTAACTTTCTGCTACATAATTTCTCAATTAAAGGGAAGGGAATCTGAATCTGTGCTGCAGAATCTGCGTTACGGCACTTTTAATGCAAAATGAAAGTTAAACGTTCGTCAAGACTAGTTGATATATAATATGAGAAAAAAAAAAAGGAAACTGACCTGAACATACCACTCGCAATAATTCTCATCTTTAGTTACTTCAATACCCAATTTTGTTTGCTTCTTTACATCTCCTCGACCTTTCATAGATGAAGTAGTAGCTATCTGAAATCTACATGTAAGCAATATAAATGAAGTTAAAACTATCAAGCCTATATCTAATGCACTATTTTTCGTTTCTTATAATCATACCAATTATCTTTCCTCATCCGCTCACATTAAAATATGTCTCATCGTTGGCAAATGATGATAATTGTGATGAAAAAGTCAAAAAAAATAAATAAATAAACACTAACAACAATTCACTCTATTTACTTCGCAAAAGAAAAAAAATGAATAACAACATACATACATGAAAATTTGACAAATCATTCTCAAGCTTCGGGATGACGTCTTGCTGGGAAGCAGTTTGCACTTCCAATGTGCTATTTTTATTCTTCATCACGTTGTTTGAAACTGTAATTATAAATAAAGTGATAAGTTACTAATGAATTCAATAACTTCTTACTTCAAAAAAAGAAAATGCAAATGTACATAATTTTAGTTCGCAATAAATCGACCTTATTTTCCATATTACTTTTAATGACTTATTTTCCATATTACTTTTAATGATTTAATTGCCTTCTCGTTTCTTACAATCCAGAAAATCTCGACAAAGATTTCCGTTTTAGCACCTCTCCAAACACGAAATTCCCCAAAATTCAACTGGTATCTCCCAAACTTTTCTCGCACTACGAACTCTGTGAACTCCCTGCATATAACAGTCATGCTATTCCATTATCACTACAAATACTTGAAAGTTAAATCGAGAACGGAAAAATGAAACGAAAAATGCGCTGACTCGGCCGAGTAACTAATTACCCAATATTCCCGCGATGTCTCGTTGTTCAGACCACCGAGGGAAGTAGAAAGTAGGAGAGAAAGGGAGTAGAGAATATTATTCTAAAATGACTTCTCAGTTCAGTTTATCTCACAAATCCTCTATTTTTCATTTCCCAAATCGCCAATAATTTTGCTGACCTTTAACCTCACTATGGTTAGTATGAATTTAATGAATATTTTATTTTACTGAAAGTTATTTCGCATTATTACCGAATGTTTTATGTATGCTTTTGTGAAGAAGATTGATTGTCAGTCACTCAAACTGAATGTCTTAGATAGATCGTAGGCCATGGCCATAAATAAGTAGGAATAGCTATGAACTATTTAGCATTTGCTGTACCATTTGGAAAATTGAAAATTTAAGCCTGAAAGTGTATGTCATTAAAATTGACAGTTTAAATTATTAGTTTTAACAGTAATAATACTACTTTTTTGACTTCAAATATTTAAAAGTTATCTATTTGGATAAAATAGAGATAGTAGACAATTATTAGCTATGAAAATTAACAATCAGTTTTATCTTCATCGAATATATAATTATCATCATTAGGTTTTAGATTAATATCTCATGTAAAATTATGCATAAATAGGATTTAAAATGGTAGATTGTATCGAATTTGTGATATAAAATTATCCAATAGCATTGCTGTTATCAATATCGATATATTCAGACTGATACTCTTGTTTATTTGTATAAATGTTTGTTTATATATCTGTTTGTATAAATAGATGCAGTTATTTTCTTGGCTCTTTTTTCTCTTCTTCTTGGCTAAAATTTAATTTAATAGATATTTTCATGTTCATAAAAATAGTCCTCGCTCAAATAGAAATTAATGGAATGTGAATGTGAAAAAAAAAGACAAAAAGGAGAACTAAAGTGAGGAAGATTATTTGGCGGAAAATGTTACACTGAGCGGAAAACTGTCATCCAGAAAAGTGAATTATTTGATGTGTTATACAAACTTTGGCACTAAGGAAATAAACATATTTATATATTTTAGCAATTGCTTTATAGTAAAAGTTAGAAATGTAATCGATAAACAGAGAGAGAGAGAGAGAGAGAAGTGAACCTTTAGTGTTTTGTGTCAGAAAGTGGACACTAAATATGGAATTATGGGAATTAAATGGAATTTGAAATAATATTTTGTTGTACTGTAATTTTTATTGCGCATTGAACACTAAGATATTTTTGATAATATTAAAATTATTCCATTGTATTTGTCACTGATAAATTTATACCTTCAATTGAGTACATTCCGTTTCTTCCTTTATTTTATCAATTTTAAGAATGAAATATGCAATGAAAGTTACATCAAATGAAGTTCGTTGAAGAAATGCATTGGTGCCAATTTTTTCGATCTTATTTCAAGTGAACTAATTGGATAACTCAATGATCTATAAAACAAATTCGAGTATTTGCATTTGCTTAGTTCAATCTGAGTTCAGTGAACATTTGATACATATGTTACAAGGATATTAAAGATGTCGCGAAAAAGTTGAATCAAGTATGACACATTACCGGAGGATAACATATATCGGAGATTCAATGGGTGTTTTGAAAATTCACAAACAAGGGATACCAACAATTATAATTACTTGTTAGCGATGATTTCTCATAGAACGATACCAGTAAGCTTGTAGAAGAGATTCTAATGTTATTTTTTATGCTGCTAGCATGTCATATCTTATGAAACTGATAAACAATTCATCAACCCGAGACTGAATTATTGAGCTTGATCCACTGCAGAACATTTTATAGAATATTACCATCATGTCATCATCTACCTGATATATTAAATTTAAATTAATAGAGATGATCAATTATAATCCGAAATATTTCACCAAAAAAAAAAGATTGGAACATTGATATTTCTTCACTGAACTGTAACCTAAATGGGAATATCAGTGATAACGATGATAAGCTATAAAATAACATATTTACATAAAATATATGAGTTATTGATTTTTCACTATTTTTTTTCTCTGTTAGCATTATAGCAATCATTGCAGTTTAGTAACTTAAAATGAAATAACAAAAAGGAAATGATATCTGATAAAAAAGATGAAAGATTGTAATTTTTGATTTAAAAATTTGATAAGTATGAATTGTTGAGCAATGTGATACATATTAAATTATCAATTATTATATCGCATAGTATCAATAAAGATTTCATTAGAATTATAGTAAATCATTCATTAATATTTTATCACCAATATTTCCAGTTAAAAAAAAAAAAGGAAACTTTTATTTTATTAAAATTCAATTCAGTTATCATTGTTGGATGATTGTAGGAAAAATAAATTTGTCGCACTGTTATCTCTTTTTCATTATCATTATCATTATTATTATCATCACTATCATCATCATTATCATTATCTCTTCATAAATTAATAATTTTGCAATGATCACTTTTTGATCTCATATTTCTTTTTTTTTATTCTCATTTCCTTTCTAATTCTGCACTAATTAATAGCAATAAATAAAATCATTTTTAAAATTTATAATAAAAAAAGAAAACCAAAAATCTACAAATATATTACTACAGCAGTCAATTTTATCCTAAAAAATTTTTTTTTTTAAAAAAAAAAAGGAGAAAATAGAAATTCATAATAACTTTATAGATTAAATTAATTATTTAATTTATCTCATTGGCAAACAAACAACTAATTATAATCCTATCAAAAATACTTATTTATAATTTATATGTGTAACTAATAATTGCTAAAATAGCATTAAACTTCATTATTTAATATTAGAAAAATAAAAAATTAGATCGTATGGAAATCATTCTCAAATATCATTCATTCATTCATTCCATTCATTCATTCATTCATTCCATTCATTCATTCATTCCATTCATTCATTCATTCCATTCATTCATTCCATTCATTCATTCCATTCATTCATTCCATTCATTCATTCATTCATTCATTCCATTCATTCATTCATTCATTCATTCCATTCATTCATTCCATTCATTCATTCCATTCATTCATTCCATTCATTCATTCCATTCATTCATTCCATTCATTCATTCCATTCATTCATTCCATTCATTCATTCCATTCATTCATTCCATTCATTCATTCCATTCATTCATTCCATTCATTCATTCCATTCATTCATTCCATTCATTCATTCCATTCATTCATTCCATTCATTCATTCCATTCATTCATTCCATTCATTCATTCCATTCATTCATTCCATTCATTCATTCCATTCATTCATTCCATTCATTCAATCCATTCATTCATTCCATTCATTCATTCCATTCATTCATTCCATTCATTCATTCCATTCATTCATTCCATTCATTCATTCCATTCATTCATTCATTCATTCCATTCATTCATTCATTCCATTCATTCATTCTATTCATTCATTCCATTCATTCATTCATTCATTCCATTCATTCATTCATTCATTCCATTCATTCATTCATTCATTCATTCCATTCATTCATTCCATTCATTCATTCATTTATTTCATTTCATTCACTCCACTTCATTCATTTCATTCATTCATTCATTCATTCATTCATTCATTCATTCATTCATTCATTCATTCATTCATTCATTCATTCATTCATTCATTCATTCATTCATTCATTCATTCATTCATTCATTCATTCATTCATTCATTCATTCATTCATTCATTCATTCATTCATTCATTCATTCATTCATTCATTCATTCATTCATTCATTCATTCATTCATTCATTCATTCATTCATTCATTCATTCATTCATTCATTCATTCATTCATTCATTCATTCATTCATTCATTCACTCATTCATTCATTCATTCATTCATTCATTCATTCATTCATTCATTCATTCATTCATTCATTCATTCATTCATTCATTCATTCATTCATTCATTCATTCATTCATTCATTCATTCACTCATTCATTCATTCATTCATTCATTCATTCATTCATTCATTCATTCATTCATTCATTCGTTCATTCATTCATTCATTCATTCATTCATTCATTCATTCATTCATTCATTCATTCATTCATTCATTCATTCATTCATTCATTCATTCATTCATTCATTCATTCATTCATTCATTCATTCATTCATTCATTCATTCATTCATTCATTCATTCATTCATTCATTCATTCATTCATTCATTTCATTCATTCATTCATTCATTCATTCATTCATTCATTCATTCATTCATTCATTCATTCATTCATTCATTCATTCATTCATTCATTCATTCATTCATTCATTCATTCATTCATTCATTCATTCATTCATTCATTCATTCATTCATTCATTCATTCATTCATTCATTCATTCATTCATTCATTCATTCATTCATTCATTCATTCATTCATTCATTCATTCATTCATTCATTCATTCATTCATTCATTCATTCATTCATTCATTCATTCATTCATTCATTCATTCAATTCATTCATTCATTCATTCATTCATTCATTCATTCATTCATTCATTCATTCATTCATTCATTCCATTCATTCATTCATTCATTCATTCATTCATTCATTCATTCATTTCATTCATTCATTCATTCATTCAT